TTATCTAAACAGGTATGACCTTGAAAATGTCTGCGCGTCTGATCGTCCGAAGTTATTAAAATTTGTAGGGGAGAGTGGACCACCTTGAGACGTTTGCGATATAAGACAGTGGCAGCAATTTAAAATTACGCGCTAGAAATGGCATTCAGGTCTACAAAGTATTCGCCGTTAATGCGGTCAGTCGTTCTCGTGTTGTTTAGTTACGTACACGCATCACGAGAGTTCTTTGTACTAAAATCTTTAAGGACTAGAACTAGGATTTCAAATATTCTAGATGTGATATTTTTTAAATGTTGTGTTTTAATTGACCAAGGAGAATGTTTTATAATATTAAAGACTGTTGTTTATAATGTGTCATGTATATTTTTAATGTATTATGTTAATATATAATTATCCCACTACGACACTCGAAAAATTACGTAAGAGAAAGTTTTAAAGCGATTTGATGACTTTTCCGAATTCATGCGCATTTTCAATTTAGATGAAATATTACAAGTGGCAAACAAGCAATTTTGGTTATAAGGTGCTGCATTATAAGTTTAACAAGTTTGTAAGTTTTACAAAAGTATAAATTGCTATATTGCTACAAAACTTAACTTTTTCCTAATGTTTCAGAAACTGCACTACCCCTGTCATGATCTTCCCAAGAGGAAATTTTAAGCATTACATGTTAAACGGAGCACCTGCTGCTACATTGCAACTTGCAAATCCTTCAGAAAGGATGAACTCTAAATGGTTTTAGCTGTTATGCTGCATTTTATACAACACTCGAACATTTTCAAAACAAATCCACCATTACTGATTTTGGATAATCATGAAAGCCCCTTCTCCATTGAGACACTTAATTTAGCCTGAGACAACGGAGTTACCATGTTCTCTTTACCGCTTCATTGATCCAATAAATTGCAGTCACTGGATGTAGCTGTTTATGCTCCATTTATAACATACAATAACAGTGCTGTGGACTCATGGATGACAAAAAATCCAGGAAACCCAATAAAACTTTTTCAAATTGCAGAATGTGTCGGATATGCGTTTGATAAATCTATGACCTCCAGAAAAAGGAAGTTTTTAAAAAATGCGGAAAAGTGTCTTTTAATCAATACGTCTTCGATTAAAGTGACTTTTTGCTTAGTAACGTAACCGATAGGAATGAAATATTAAAGAAGGGTAATACAAATCAAAGAGTCATTTCATCACAATGAAAAATTGTCAAAATTGACAAGACATGTCAGCTCTTCAGAAGTCCAAAACAATTGTGTGGATATCGCAATGCAGAACACCAAAAAAATCTCAAAAGAGAATAAAAAGCCGTAGTCAAATTGTAACATACTTCCAAGAAGTTAAAAATAGAGGAAAAACGTCATGAGAAAAAAATAATGGAAGCAACTCTCTCTAAAAGTTTTAAGAGAAAATGAACTGCGCAATATTTTAACAATTGCACTATCATCATCCAGTGACACTGTCACTGATTCATTTGTGTTTGATTCCTCAGACACTGAATATTAACAGATTTTAAGTTTGGTCGTTATCATGATTTGCCCGAGATTAATTTTTATAAGCTGGTGGAATTTCGTGATAAAAAATTAGTTTTTTATTTAGCGAAAATTATTGAGTTAAACGACAACGCCTTTAAAGTCACATCTTGCGTCGTAGTGTTAAAAGTAAAAATCTATTTTTTATTTATTAAAAGTAACGTTAGATGTGTAGTGCCAGAAATTCTTAATTGCTGAGGTACAAAACGTCAGAAGTCCTTTATTTCATTTGCCGTCAAGTTCGATAATATAGACATTCGTTAAGAATTTTAATTTAATCCGTTTTGTTAAAGTTTATGTAGATATGGCATTTGATAATTTGAAATAAACGAATATTTTAAGGAAATTAAGTTGTTTTGGATTTGTTTCAAGCTGGCTCACTATTTAGGTCAAGTTGAGACAAAAAAATGTTCTTAAAAATAAGTAATAAAAAAAAGATTAATTTGTTATTACAAAAGACTGCTATTTTTGCTTGATTATAAATACATTTAATAATTGCATTTTAAATTTGAACTAAAAAAATCAGTAATAAACAGCTTATATCATCAACAATACGAATAATGTCTCAACGAGATCCACTCTTCCCAACGTTCGAAGCATAAATGTGTACTTTGCGCATTCATGAGTCATAGCTGTTTAGGCAATCAACTACCTCTAGCTATAAATATCTATACACCTATAAAAATTAATGACTAGAATAATTTTATTACGTAAATAAAATGAGTCTTCTGCTCTAACAATAATTTTCTACCAAAACATTTTTTTATATAAAACAATACTCATTCTCTAAACATTAGGTATAATGTATAATTCTAAAACAAAGTTTCATAGGCCCATAATGTGTGATATAGCGATATTCAAAATAAAACGAATTAATTTCTGGCCTCGAAATTGGTAAAATTTATAATGTTTTAGAAAAGTTTAATACAAAAGCACCAATTTTTTTCTTCTAGCCAAACATCTGCAAAACGTTCGAAAAGTAGGTTATTATGCATTTCTAACAAAAACCAACTTTTTTTTAGTTTTTTATTACGTCGAAGACAAGCCGAATCACGATAACACGATAATATACTAGAAACGTCAAATGCCGAAATATGTCAATTGTCTAACTGATTTAACTATTTTTAAGCCTTTCGGTAGTTTTTTTAAACAGAAATATAAAATTATTCCTGCAGATATGTTCCATGTAAACATAATTAGTAATTAAGATATTTTACTCCGATGCAAAAAAATTAATACATTAAAAAAAGCGTCAAAAGTACTCCATATAAGGCTATGTTTGGTACGAAAATTATGATTATCTTAACTGATTAAGATCTTTCTCCTGAAACAACAAAACGTTTACTACACAATAAAGTCAGTAATAGACTTTAAAACAGTGGAAGCAGAAATAAGGACGATGTACCTATTATCTGATAAATCCGATACATAATTAATAAATAGACAATAAAATAGAGCTGTGAAATAATGGGTACAAGATAATGATAAAATAATGAAAAAAATCTATATATTTTTTATGAAACTCAGTTTTTTGAGATTTCAGAGAGTTCAGAGAATTATTCAAAGTGTTGCCTGACATAAAAAAGCTTCACTGAAAGTTTCACTGAAAGTAGTTACTTGATCGGTAGAATTGATGAATGACCATAGAAAAATATTAGAATGTAAAGAAACAGGAATGATAAGCAAAAGTCCTGTGAATGGGAAGAGCTTGCCAATCAATTTAATAGAAAATATACTGCTTAAATACCACGTTCAGAAAAAAATCAGAAGTGGTCAAATTTAAAAAACAAAAATTGTAGTACCTAATCATGCAAAGGATAAAAGTACTGCACAGGTACCGGTGGTGGTCCGTCAGAGCCAATGAAAAAACACCGGTTAACTGCATTATAAATGATATATTAGGAGAAAGAAAGAAGAGGAATGCCATCATAATGTAATTTAGATTTTATTAAAACAGGTAAGTTTTGTATGACTTTCCAAATTTAACCATTAACCAAAAAATAGGGTTAAAATTTATTAAAATTTAACCTAGGTTAGCTAACCAAAATTTTAATCTATCGCTGAAAAACTAGGCCTCAATGATGCGAACCAGATGCCGAATTGTTACATGATTTTGCTACTTGCTATTCTTTGTAAGGATATATCGTGATATGCTTAATTATTTTGGCTACAGACCTATGTATTAAAAAAATATAATTAATTACATTACATTTTTTCACCTAATAAATTGTGCAATTATTCGAACATATTTAAATACAACATTTTTGCTTATCAGAATAAGCAGTGATGTAATGCTGTAAATAAATTGGTCGCATTGTAAAAAAACAGTCCTTTTAACATGTAATAAGGCTTTAGTGAACGAAATAACATATATAATGTTGAATTCTTAGCGAAAGAAGTCAAAACACGTCTTCAAACTTGAAATTCTAGAATCAACATGTACAGTCAGTAATACCGCGTCACCTTTCCGAAAGCATATTATTTGGTCAAAGGATAGTAAAATAGTAGAAAAGAGAGTAGGACCAGAATCATGGCTCGCAACAAATTTGTATTTACGTTTATAAGGTTCTAGTGACATGTAATTAATTACACACGCGTGAATTATTTTACACGCCTTCATGAAATACCTCTTGAGTTTGTCCTCTGTCAAACAATATTATTGGAATATTATCAGAAATAAAAAATTCAGTGATAAATGATATAAAAACTCAATTGACAAAAAAGGACAAATTGATATCGGTGTTTTTAAAAAAAATTAAGATAATTGATGATACAGATGTCTTCAGCAGAAATAAATAGATGTCCAAAACCTAACTTACTACTCAGTTCAAGGCCAGAATCCAAATATATGTAGGAGTAACAAAGTTATAAATATATTTTCTAAATTACTATAAATCTTTTTAACATACTCCGCACTTGCCCACTTTTGATTATAATATAACATGTTTATATGACATTTATGTAAAATATCCAAGAATATTTTAATAAACAATTTTTATCTCATATTTCAATGTCACATATTGGTCTGCATATGTTTTTAAATGATTTAATATTGATTTTTGGCAATAAATATATCGAATTGATTAATATTTTTTATTAGTCCATTCGCAAGTTATTGCATTTTCTTTCTTATCATTCTGTATGCAGATAACTTATTTAATAATTCAATTTGACCATGCATACTGCAGGATTATCTTAAATCTGATCGCAACTACTGATATTTTTACGGTGAGTTTAATAAGAAAGGAACAACTAAATATTAATATCAGCGATATAACAGACTATCAGAGATTTTCTATACAATAAATGAAAAAGCTAATATTTTATCAATTTTAAAACATATTAGATTTCTTATATCTCTCATCTGATGCAACAACCTGCACAGCACATTCCTAGAGATTTTCTACTATCAATACCAATAATTTTCAATTCAAACCATATACAATCTTAACTTCTATCTACACTTCACGTACTAGGCCGAGTCAGTAAGCTTTGCATGATATTTAAGCTTTCTTCTAAAGATTGTGCGTACTTACTAGTACTAGTAACCTCAGAGGACCAAAAAGCAGACAAGCAAAAGATAATACAGTCTGTCTTAGGGTTGTAAGAAGCTCCATATCCATCGGATTCTACGGGACCATAGCCCATGAAGCTGTTAGTGCTAGTGGCTACTTGGCTGGTAGATAGTAAAAATTTGTTTGCTAATCTATATGATGCATCCGTAAAGAGTTTTGGCAGTGGAGATGCTGCTGTAGGCGAGGTTTCTTTGGCTGCTTCTCTTAAACCTAAGATGTGTAAGTCTATGCCCTGACCCAGAATGTTTTCAACCATTTCTGTAGTTTGTGCTGCTACAGCTTCGTTCCATAGTAGGATCTTCTTCTCGTCACTAACTAGATGAAATGTTACCTTCTTGTTGCTTGTATCATCTTCTTTTGGTTGCGACATTGCTTTAACCCAAGCCAAAGCTTCGGGACTAGCTGATCTTATACAATCCACTCTTCCCATCCTAAATCTTCTGACTGAAGCACTTTCATAGGTTGCTGTAAGCTTACCATACAGTCTATAGTAAGTTAATTGCAGAGCTAATTGAATATATACATCTGGACTAACTTTGCAGGACTTCATGAACTCTTTGCCATAACCGTTGTACCTAAAAACCTGGAAATCTAAGTCTTTTACTAAATTGTCTAGGTATAGTCCTGCTTCTTCTATTCTCTTGTGATCGGTGGCTTCCAGCACCCATTCTAAGCGTTCTGGAGGTGGAAGGTGACTGGAAGAAGATGCAGGTACCTAAAAAATTGTACTTCTTTATTTAAAAATAAATTTCTACTTTCACCCAAATTTGTATAAAATGATGAATATGATCAAGAATAATTTCATGGATGACATCATCAAAAGCGTTATCAAAGGAAGACGGTACATAAAGAAAAACACAGAAGTAAAAACACTCTGTTGCGTAGACGAGACAATATTGATAGCACAAGATGAAGATAGTTTGCAATGACTGGTGCACAGATTTTACATAAGAACAAAAGAATTTAAAATGACAATCTCATCTTAGAAAACTAAAACAATAGTAATCAGCAAAAAACCAACCAGATAAAATAGAAATTGATAGCATGAGTATCGAACAAGTAATGAAAATAAAATACCTTAGAAATTCACAATGCAGCTATGGAGACCTGGACAAAGAAGTGAGAGATCAAGTGCAAAAAGCAAATAGACTGGCGTCTTCTTCAGGTTTTTTCTCCTATTGGAGGTTGGAAATCATCATCGCTATTTTAATTTTATTTGCCGCGCCTCTAAATAATGCTAATGAGCTGCAACCGAACCACTCTCTCAAATTTCTTAGGCAGGATATTTTGCATCGTCCTGGGTTTCTCTTCCCTTGTATCTTCCCTTGCATAATTAACCTAATTAATAAGTTCTTCTCGCCCATTATTATATGACCCAGATATTGAATCTTTCTAATTTTAACAATTTTTGCGAATTCACATTCTTCATTCTTTGTAACACCTCTATATTAGTTACTTTTTCAGTTCACGATATTCTGTGGATTCTCCTGTAGCACCACATCTCAAAGGAGTTAAACTTTTTTATTTTAGACTGTTTTATTGTCCACACTTCCATGCTGTATAGTAAAGTAGAAAAAACGTAACAACGTAGCATTCTTGTGCGGATCTCTAGATTAAGGTTACGGTTGCAAAGTAAGTTCTTCAATTTTATAAACGTGTTTCTTGCCATTTTTATTCTAGATCTGATTTCTTTTGTTTGATCTCCATCTTTGGTTAGCCACGTTCCTAAATATTTATATGTTGTTACTCTTACGATTGTTGTATTATTGATGATCACGTTATCTACATTTTGTGTGTTTTTTTAAGAATATCATTGATTCGTTTTCTTAAGATTCATTTGCATTGTATACATGTTGTATTATGTACTGTAGATCTTCCATGTCACTTGCAAATATGACCGTATCGTTTGCATATCTAATATTATTAATGCTATTTCCATTGACCAAAATACCTTTCACAATATCCAATAAAGCTTCTTGAAATATCACTTTACTGTGGGCGTTAAATAAGGGTGGTGGAAATATGCACCCTTGTCGAACTCCTCTAGGTATACTTACTTCCTCTGACAGTTCTCCTTCGACACTTATTCTTGCTTTCTGATTTTGATACAGATTCGATATAATTTGTAGATCTCTACTATCTATGTTTTTGGTCTTCTTAAGAATACTTAAAAGCTTTTCATGTTGAACTCTGTCAAAAGCTTTTTAAAATCTATGAAGCAATCATATATGTTCTGATTTATATTCAGACATAGTTGTGTCAGAACATTGACTCCGAATAATGATTCTCTAGTTCCTAAACCCTTTCTAAAACCCATCTTTGATTCACTTATTTCTTATTCTAATTTCATGTGGATTCTGTTATGTATGATTTCAAGGAAGGTTTTCAATGTGTGGCTCATAAATGCAATTGTCCGATAGTCAGTGCAATCTTTAGCATTTGTGATTTTTGGAATTGTTACAAAAGTTGAGAAAAGCCATTCGTTGGGTATGTGTCCCGTCATGTATATGCAGTTAAAAAGGTCTACCAAGACATCAATATTGTCTGCATCAATTATCTTCAATAGTTCAATTGGTATTTTATTGGGTCCTGGAGCTGTTCTACCTTTTGTATGTTTATGGCATAAATAACTTCCTCTTTTATTATTTCTGGTCCTGTGGTTTCTCCGTCAACTTCTAATTGTTCTACTTTTTGGTCATAAAATAGGTGTTCAATGTATTCTTTCCATCTACGTAATTTTTCGTGCGTTTCAGTTATAGTGGTACCTTCTGCATTTGTTAATATCCAGATTGGTTTGTTACGATTTCCTAAAATCATTTCTTTAACCTTCTTATGGGTATTGAAAGTGTCATACCTCGCCTCACATTCCTCAATTTTTTGACATTTAATGGACATCCATGTTTCCTTAGCTTGTTTTATTATCGGTTTTATTTGTTTATTAATTTCTTGATATTTAATTTTATCTTTGTTTTTATGTATTCTTCTTTCGTCCATCTTTCCGACAATTTTTTGTGTCATCCATTCTTGTTTGGCAGCTTTTGTAAATGTTAATGTTTTTCGTCCCACAGTCTCTATTGTGTTTTTATATTCGCTCATTTTGTTTAAATATCTGTAGTGTTCTTATTTTGTTGTTTTATTTCTTGGATACTCTGATTTATTTAATTTCGAGTTTCTTGGTATGTATTTGGTTCTCTTAGATTATCAATGTATATTTGTGGTCTAGATCATTTCATTAATGATTTTTTCAATCTTACATTCATATTTGCTACTGGGTTGTGGTCCGAGTTTATATCTGCTCCAAAGTAAGTCTTCACTACTGTAATACAGTTCTTGTACCTGTTCCTTATCAAGATATAATCTATCTGATTTCTTATAATTCTATCTTTGTTCTTCCACGTATAAAGCCGGCGATTTGGTAATTTAAACATTGTATTCATAACTACCACTTCTTCTGTTTGGCACATCTGAATTAGTCTTTCATCACGCTCATTTCGCTCTCCTAATCCATACATTCCAACACAACTCTCCACACTTCCTCTGCCCACTTTGGCATTGAAGTCACCAATTAGTATCAGAACTTCACGTTTTTTTGTTGTTTTTATTATTGTTTCCAATTGCTCGTAGAAGTCTTCTATTTCTTGTTCCTCCTTGTCAGCTGTTGGTGCATATACTTGAATAACATTCATTTTTCTCATATTGGTGTTACGGATTAAGTACGGATTTATCTATTTTCTTGCTTACCATTATGGTCACACCATATCGGTTTGTTCTATCAGAATATCCACTATAATATGTAGCTCCGTTTATGGTCCGTTGTTAGACTGGCAGGATGCCTTAATAACAGTATATGGCGAAACAGACACATTAACACTGAGCTTAAGTTAAGCATTTATAAAGCCCGTGCAAGGCCAATAATGACATATGGCTCAGAAACAAGACTCGACACAGCCACAACACAAAGGCTACTAGAAACAGTAAAGATGAGAGTACTGAGAAGAAATATAGGAAATACGCTAAGAAATCGAAAGATATGTGAAGACATTAGAAGAATTTGTAACGTACAGTCTATAAACGAATGGAAACTAAATATGAAAAAAATATTAGAATAACTACATAGGCAGAATTGGGGAGATCCGTGTCGTCAAAATAGTAAGAGATAAGTCACCAATCGGTAGAAGTATCGGACGACCGCGCAAAAGAGGGACTCACAACCTTCCATTGAGGTAATAATCCGGCAAAGAACAAGCAAAATTCCTTATAAAGAGGAAGAAGAAGAAGAAGTTCTGTCTTTAAACTATTTTATACATATAAGTACCTCTGATGGTGTTGTAAATGAGTCAGCATGCTTCCAAAGCTTTTCCGCCAACTGGATGACTGCGATTCCCTCGGCGTTGGAATGTTCATAACAAAGACCGCAGGCTCCATCTCCGGAGATAACCAGCTGAATGGTTTTGTCAAACCATCTGTTTGCTGAATTGTGGGCACTGCCTCCACCATGAAGCATCTGGTGAGCTAAGTTGGTTTCATCGCGGCCTGCAGCTATGTGACCTTTGCCACCTATTGAAAATGGAAAACTTTAGTTTTTAGTTTTAGTAAAGGAAATCGAGGGGAGATTGGGAGATATAAATCATATATGTTTAGTTCACAGTCAGATTTATAAAATATATAATCTAATGTAAACTTCTTATAAACTTTCTCACCTCTTTGAAGCCTACAGTTAAAATTGTTAGGTAAGCCTTCGTCAAGGCACACAACTACTAAAGCTTTGGTTATGAGATCTAGATTTCTCGTATTTTTTTCTTCTTTCATTAAGTCTTCCCTAGCTTCGGCCCATAATGATCTTTTCCAACCTGTTAACAGGCCTATAGGTGGCGGATTGGACAAACAAGGAGCATCATCCAGTATATATAACAATTGGGAACATATTTCGTCTTCGTTCAGTCTTCCTCGGTCACCTATAATTTATTGTTACGTAAAAATTAGTCATATTAATATTAAAAAAACCTGTAAATATGTTGTTTATTCACTAATATGTTCTAGATTCTACGACCCTTCGACTAGCTAGCGGAAATTCCAAGTGATAATAAAAAAACCGGTCCATTCAAACGGTCCGGAAATACGTTGAATGAAAGAACCAGCCATAGCCTTCCAGTATTTTCGACAAGGGTCGAAAATACTGGAAGGCTGGTCGAAAGCTGGTGAAAGGCTGGAAGGTCGAAACTAGAAGGATCCTTCTAGTTTACCAGCTGTATGGGTATATAACATGATTGCCATTGAAAGAAGTCAGTCAGAAAAGAAAATCGCGATCGGGTATTTAAATGTAACGATCGTAATAATAAATTATTATTGTAAAATAAATTATTATAAACAAACTTTAAATAGATTAAGTTTGTAACTGTTATAAATATTAAACCTTTAGTAAATTAAAATAAGAACAATAAATAAGAATAAATAAAAACATAGCAATTGGTGTCAGAAGTGGCATAGTGTAAATAGTGAAAATGACGACGATTTACGAACTCACAGTTACGAATTTAAGAAGACATATCGAGGAAAGATAATTAGCTTCTACCGGAAAAAAGCTAAGTTAGTCCAACGACTAAAGAACACTTTAGAGGAAGAGGGTTTAGACTCGGAAACTTATATATTTGAAGATGCTGTCATCTTGTCGATTTCGAAATTAGAGAACAAAGTTACTGGCGATATTTCGAAGGT